CGCCCCTGGCCCCCATTGGCCGTGAGGCGGCCGAGGCCCCGCCCACCGACTCGCCGCGCTGCGCTTTGCTTCCTTCCTTGGGCGCTCCTCCTCCCCGTCTCCTCTTTCCTCCTTCCTTCGCCGGGTGCGCGAGAGAGACGGTGCGAGGCGCCGGCCGGGCGCCGGAGCGAGAGAAAGAGGGAGAGAGAGAGAGATAATGACTAGGTGTGCGCGCCTTATTACGTGTGGAGGGGAGAATGGGAGCACAAAACAACGTGTAGCTTCTTGAACATCACACGTCGGGAAGGAGAGGAGGGGGAGGGGGGCGGAGGACGAGCCTGCTCTGCCCCGGCTCTGCCGGCCGGGCAGCCGCACCGGCCCAGGTGAGGAGGCGGCCAGTCGTCAAGGAGCTTCAGAAGGCTACGGAGCACGGAGCGCAGCGCAGCGCCGTCCTGCAAGGTCACGACCAAGGACCATAGTGACTCGAGTCACAGCCGCGAGTGGTGCAGTGCAGTGCACAGTGCAGTGTGACTAGTGTGCGTCATGGACGCTTAGTGAGGTGCTCGACAAGTGTTTGAGACTCGTGTCATCGCCGACCCTACACCCTCTGCGCCGCCATGGAGACGTGCGTGCTCATCCCCCAGGAGTTCTCCCTGGTGATGTCCTCGCCGCCGGGCTCGCCCGACCGCCTCGACATGGGCCTGGATGGCGTCTACCTCAAGAACCACAACAACAACGACGTCCTGGGGAACCGGGATCCCGTGTCCGTGTGGACCAACGCGCGCATCCCCCAGGGCACCGTCGTCTACCCCTTCCAGGGCACCGTCAGACTCGACACCCTGGACGTCCACTCCCAGCTCCACGACGCCGACGTGAGTAGAGTGGTGTTGCCCACCGGGACGGAAACCATGAGATTATGGAAATGCCCGGAGTCCCTGATCGGCTCAGAGACTGCTCCAGATACAAACGTCAGCTCTCGGCGCGCGTTTTCCTGATTTATTTTTTTATCCACACAACTCGGTATGAGGCTGTTTGGCTCTGAGATCGGCGGCCTTGCTGCGCGACCACCGCGGCGGCCTCCTACCTTTTCGTGATCGCGGTCCCCGATTGCGTCCAACACATATCGTCCGTCGTAGCGACGCGCGTGACGGGCCACGGAGAGCATGGGGGGACTTTGACACGGCGCTCATGTGGGTGTCAGCCGGGCATGAGAAATCTACAAACACATCGGACGGATGGGTTTGGCGAGTCTAGATCGAGGCTGGCCGGGGCTGGCCGGGGCCGGCGGGGCGCTGCGTGCCAGCGCGGCCCACGCCGGTGCGATCCTCGCTCGCGGACGATCTTCGATCCCGCCCGTATAATCCCGGGCGCGGCGATGATGAATATTCACCGCGCGCAAATAGAGCAGAGCGGAGCAGCGCCGCAGCAGCGGCAGCATCTCCGCGGGGCGCGCGGCGCGGCGCCAGGACCTCCCTGCAGCAAGCGCGGGGACGCGAGCGCGCGCGGGCACATGATGACCGTCATCAGCTCGGGCCTCTCCTCCTGCCCCCGTACCGCCCGCACGGCAGCAACTTCAGCACGCCGCCCGCGGCGAGGTGACCTCCCGCGCACGAGGTGCCATTTGCATTTAACGAGACTCCCCGACGTTCCTCCTGCACTTGTCTTGTGTACTCAGGCCTCTAGGCCTAAGAGGAGGCATACCGGCCGCGGTCAAGGGTCCCCTTATACTCCCGTGCCGGCAACTCCTCCTCCCCTGCTCACCTGTTGCGCGCTGCTGCGGCCTTCGCCCGCGACCTTGTCCCTCCCTGACCCACACCCCTATAGTAGGGGTGGTCGCTCCCCCCCCCCTCCCCGGACACGACCTTGCCGAGGTCGCGCACGCGGCCCACCCGCCCGTCACCGCTGCGCTCGACGGCGCGTGAAAACGGCGTGCTGTACCGGACACGGCTCTTAGCCACCCGCACGGCACGCGGCACTTGGCGCGTGACGCGAGACACCTGTCACACGCGCGCGCACGCAACGCACGCGAGCCCATAGCGCACCAAGGAGGGGGAGGCGGGGGAGGAGCCCGCCGAGCTGAGCGCGTCAGACCGGCACGCCAGTCAGATTCAAAGTGGTGTAGTGGTTGGTGGTGCTGACTTGGCGGATTTTCGATGCTCGTCCCGCATCTGTTGTTATGCACCCTAATCCAAACAAAACGAGCTTATACGTTATAACTCTGAGGTGCTCTTT